GTGCAATTTCATTCGAGTTTGACAAAAGTCAACAGATCAAAAAAGTGCTAAGCAGGGTGCTCCATGAAAATAGCAACAGGAACAGGACCAATCCCGTATAATCAAGATTACAGGAGGAGTATGACCTTCCGCATATAGTAATTCTAACATAATAATGAATATTGTGAGAAGGGCAGTTGTAATTGGATAGAAACAAAAATTCAGCAGATCGGAAATTATCATCTGGGCTGTTTTACTTAGTAAGTGGGTTATGGCTTCATTGGTAAAATTTTGAGTGATCTTGGGCAAAATCAACGCCGGTTTTACATATCCATCGCGGGTTTTACATATCTATCGCGGGTTTTGCATATCTATTGCGGGTTTTAAATATTTATCGCGGGTTTTACAAAAAATTATCGCGGATTTCACCCTGTCGTAATTTAATAATTACTCTATTTTTCTGCAAATTTTTAACTATATAAAGAGAACTAGAATATATCGATTTAAATATCCTTTTTCTTAATCTAATTTTTCTTTTTACTTTATTGATTTTTAATAACAAAAATTAGATATGTGTAATTACTGGACATTTGCAACAATAGACAATAGTAAAGTTTGTAAATTTACATAAACTATTTATTATATCTATTGTAACGAATAATTTTTCCCATGTTTCCCACTTCAGAATCTGTATAATTCATTAAGTTATCACTTACTTCTGTTAATCTTACCTTTATAGTATTAGGCATTCTTATGTATACTCGGCTTAATCTATGTGAATTTCCCCTAGTCACGTAAACACGACAATTGTCACGTATACGCGGTTGCTTAAACTTGATAGAATAAGTTGCCTGTGGGAAAGCATGAGTAAATCAAGAGCGTAGACATTATAATCTTAATGTAGACGTTATGAGAAATTGGAATATATATAAAAAGATGCTTTTACCCTTCATTCATGATACCTAATAGATGTTCTCTAAAATAGTCTCTAAATAAAGAAAACAAAAATATACATTCTTTTCAATAATAAATGCCTAATAACCAATCATTAAATACAAGTTCCCTTATTTTCATCAAATTTTCGCATATTCTCTTATACTATAGTATTTTTTTTTTGTTGGATTTTTTTTAAAAATTACTAATAATCAATAGCAAGAATGAAAGAATTTGAAAGAATTTGAAAGAATTTATTTAGTATTTTTAAATACATACCAGACTATCGTTTATTATAGATTTGATAATTCGGTAAAACAAGTCACATTCATTTTTTTGAAATCAGTTGATGCCAATATTTTAGGGTCCCTATATCCTTAAACACATCCAGAAAAAATTATATAAATACATGAATAAATAATAAATCAAATGCATCCTAAAAAAACATTTAACTTACCAGCCTCGGTAATACCCACAATTTTGTTTATGTTAATAAAAGTATTTGTACACATAAATTTTTGTGCTAATCTTAATAGTTGAAAGTAAGTTGCTGTAGAGAGTGGAATCGGTGAATAATTAGTTATTCGAGCATCGATCGAAAATTTCGAACATCGAAAAATTTAAATATAAGTTTTGATAATGATAAATTTTTGATTGATTACTAAATAACAATTTCATAAATTTTTTATTTAATAAATTTTTTCAAATTGACATTGTTAAAAAACTCAATTGGACCCAAGATACAAAAGATTACATGTTTTATCAAACTGATAAGCGAAATCAAGTTGAATAAACTTTACGTGCTATGTATGCAGAATTTAAGGAGTAGCACAATTTATTTAAACAAATTATTTCATTGACATCCAAATTAGTTTCTGTAACTAATCGAAATGAAAAGCAAAGGGTTCATGAAATCTGGTTTTTCATCAAACTCACAAACCAAGATAATAACGAAGTTGCAAATTATCATGCTCTTTCTGAGCTTGATTTCGAGGGAGATCCTATGGTCTGGTGGTCTTTACAAAAACGGCAATTTCCGATTTTAAGTGAATGGCCCGGAAATTCCTTGCAATTCCTGTAACAAGCACACTAAGTGAACGCTTGTTTTCAGATGCAGGAAATGTATTTCTAAAGCGTAATATGAAAACAATTGACTTTACTATCCCTGATGTCTAGAATTAATGCTTTGTTATTTTTATAATATAAATCGCAAATTATAAGTCATGTAAATGTTAGTAAAGGCTGCTTTTATAATGCGCAAATTATAAGTCATGTAAATTATATGCAGCGATAATAGTACAAGTTGTTTTTGTAATGTCACAAATTATAAGTCATGTAAATCGTAATTAAGTAATGTAGAGTTAAGGTACAATTGATAAATTTCATGTTATACTAAATTCTTTTATGTATTTTTTAACAACTCAATAAACATTCAAACATTCGAACATCGATCAAAATGTTTTACAGATGCTCGAAAATCTAGAGTTTGTGACCAATTAATGCTCGAAAAGCATAGGTACGAGTGGTCATGTATTGGACTAATGCCGGCAAGCAAAAGGTGCAGGAAAAAAAATTCAATTAAAGGACTTTAAGTCCGCAGAATACATTGTGAGTAATTTGAGCTGCGTAATTTGAGCTGAGTAATTTGAGCTTAGTAATTTGAACTGAAACGATGATATGCTCCCGGAAAATTAGCAGGTGAGATTGCGCCGGTATCATCGTAACAGTAGAATGAGTGAGAAACAGCATCAGCCGGTGGTTTCCTGCCTGCTCGAAGCAGCCGGCTGTTAAATAGGAAAATGGCAGAATCAGGAGATTACAATGTATGATGGGAAGGGTTGGATCGAGAAAAAAGAGACGGTTGTAATGCTTGGTTTGTTGAAAGAGGAACGAGTGTCGCATATCAGTTATTTGTCGATTCTTTAAATACTGATTGTAGTCGTGGTTTTCGGTTACGTCACTTTATTCGCATAAAATTTCTAAAGTCTGATGTCTCTTTCGATCCCCGACCCATGTTATCAAGCAGGGTTGTAGCACACGGCGTGTAATCCCTGACCATTCTCCCCTGCCTTTTCGATCAGTTGACTCCTGTCAACATACACGAAACTCATCGATTCCAAACTCTAAGTTGCTGTATCAAATTTATGAGATATTTCTATTTTAGTTTTTTTTTACTTTGGGTGTGTGCTAGGTATCCGGATAATGCTAAAGGAGATTAAATTTTAAAGAAATCCAAGCGTTTTCTTTATAAATGAAAAATGATCTGAACAAACTACTGATTATAGTACGATATAAGACATTGAGATTTGCGAAATTTATAGAAAAGCTTTGAAATATGTAAAATTTTATTTAGGTTAAAGGTCGATTATGATTGTTAATTTACTAATTTATTAATGGCACGCATGTTCACATACAATATCGTAAATTTAATTTCAACCTTTTAGAAATTATTTTTTGTATGGGGAATTTTGGCATGGAATTGGCGTGCCTGATCTCGGTGACATCGTTTCTACTGCAGAGTTGTTTCTTAAAATTTCCAAGTTCACCACAATTAGATTCTATATCAAACGAAAGTTAGCAAATGTAAATATCAGTAATTTTTATAGTAACTAAATGTGAAGTTCTGAATTAGTTTTATTGTTCATATATTAAACCAGATTTAATCTTGATTTTAATATCTGAAAAATTAAACTGTTTCTTAAAATTTTTTTAATCAAGTCTCTAAGTTTCGAATAATCAGCGATAGTGGTGGGGATTTCTGCGATAAAAATGCGTTTTAAAATAACACATTTACCAATCCGAATCATTTTTTTGAAAATTTGTAGGTTTTTTGGCGCTGGGCGCCCCAATTCCAGTTCTTTTGAAAAAAAATATAGTTCAAAATTGTTTTGCATTAAGCGATCCAATTTGAAACTATCATTACTAAATTTCATTTGGTCTTTATGTGATGGTCCTGCAACTTCTAAAGATAAAAGTTCATAACCTGAACAACTTTGAATGGTAAAATCTGGGCGGTTTCTACCAGAACTTGTGTCATTATTATTTTGTTGTTTTCGATATTTCGAAGCTGCAGAAGCTGCATCCCTATTATTAAGTAAAAATTAATATATGTGGGGCTTAATTTGCATAATCTCTAATATGTATAGTAAAGTATTTTTTAAGAATGCGAAAACAATAGTCACAATAAACTTTACTATAATCGATTTTTTTGATGCTCACATGACTAATCTACGTCTTGTTTCTCAGTATCACCACCAAAAGTTGCAACTATGTAACAATAAATAAAAATTCTTAAATTATATTATGTTTTACATAACTGCAACTTTTTGGTGGTGATACTAGGGTAGTTCTGCAACGTTGGGGACTTTCGCATCATAACCAAAATTTTTCATGAAGAAAATATGATTGAATAGCTTCTATACATAATTGGTGCTGTGGATTATAGCAATAAACTTACCAACTTGTGTAAGTGCCGTCAATATCTGTTAAAACATCGATACATTGTTCAAAGATCTCACCAATAAACTTTAATTCAGTCATATTGCGTGAAAAGAAATCGCCTCTCGAAATTTTTGAATACTAAAATAAAATATTTGGTTTATTTTAATATACTATACAACAATAAACATTTTTTTTTAAAAAAAAAAAACTTACAATTTTTCTAGTGTGTCAAATATGAAAGTAATTTGCCTTTCTTTTAATGTTTTTATTCCTAACCCCTGTTTACTTCTCTTTTCCTCAATTTCTTTAAAAATTTCAGTTACTTCCAACGTCTAATATAGATAAATAAATAAATAAATAAATAATTTTAATTTCAAATCAATATTTTTAACACAATCATATAGTATTTATTCAGTACTTCTTTATTCCCGAAAACGGAGAAAACATCATTCAAACATTCAACAATCTCATGATCTAAATCCAGTTTTATCGTTGGAAAAACTTCTTTCAATAGGTTAAACTCTTCTGTACTTATGAATTTACCATTATGAAGTTGGTCAAGATCCAATATATGGTCCCTAATAAAACTGTTTTTTATAATTAGAAAAAAATATAATTTAAATAAATATATTATACCTATTGACACCCTATATACGAAATTGGGTTTTAGATGTGTTAAAAATGTTACAATAAACTTGCCTGTATTTTGGCAAATCTTTTAACCTCTTGTGTAAACAATCCCAAATATTCATTATAGACACTTTGCTTAATCCTTTCGATGGGGGAGATACTATCACCGAAACTGATGGCAATTCACCCAGATAGCTTGATGTTCGAGGTGTTTCATATGGATTGTTTACAACAGTATGTTCATTTTTTTTGGTCTTAGAATCCTTTGCACGTTGATTTAAAAGAAACCTGGCCTTTCTTTGACTTCTAATAGGAAATCGATTATCTTCGCAGATTTTTTTAAGAGATGATGACCATAATTTTCCCGGTTGATCTACAATATCACCTTTGGTCTTTATATAGGTAATAAATCTATCATAATTCCAATCTTTAGCTTCAATATTGTGAAAGTATATGTGAATAGTATCGAGGTTTTCTATAATTAAAAAAAAATTTTTAGCAAAATTTATAAA